CAAAACCCCATGTTCTTCAGTGCATCTGGTTGAGGTAGAATCAAAAGAAGGCACAGAAAGCTCGGAAGAAAGGGAAGTTACAGAAATGGCAAAGTTGAAACATCCCATCAATTGCAAAGCTCTGACAAAGCCACCAAAGGACCAGAAGCCACCACCATTTACAGGAGGGTTTGTTCCAAACAAACCAGCACAAAACAAAGTTTATTCCTTCGATATAACCAAGGTTGATGCTCTGTTTGATGAGATGCTATTGCAGAAGGCAATAGAGACCCCCCACAGGTTGCCCAAGCCAGAGGAACTCAAAGGCAGACAATATTGCAGATGACACAACTCTTGGACCCATTCCACCAATAGTTATGTTGTTTTCAGGGACGTCATACAAGAAAGGATAACAGCAGGAAGGCTGAAATTGGCTGAGAAACCTCCCTCAGTAACAACAAACTCTTTTCCCCAACCTCAAGTCAACATAGTCAACATAAACTATCCAGAATAGAAGAGATGCAAACTAACAGCAGAACCTAGCCCCAGCGTAGGCAGAAGAGTCACAAGAGAGGCTAGTTTGAGACCAAAAGCGACCATTTTGGCTAGGATAGTTCTATGCAGCAAGTGCAGATACGAACACGAGTTAGAGATAACTCTAGATGGACAAAGTCAGCCCACAGCTAGTGTTTTTGATAAGATTGGAATATCATACCAACAGGGCCTAGTTTTGGCTCTACTTAAAGACATGGCTAGGCAGAAGACCTATCAAAGGCATGCCCAGCGCAACAGAAAAATGACAAAGCAGCCAAAGAGGAGATACTAGTTAAAATGCCTGAAAATGATAAGCCCTTGGCAACTATCATATAAGGCAGTTTGTATTCTATTGAAAAAGCGACATACCAACTTTGGAGCTAACTAGAACACAGAAGAGGAGAGTTCAGAGGCAATACTACACCTTTCTTAAAAACAAGGGTAACACCCAGGTACTTCCAGAGACCAGTTCTGCCAGAAAAGGGAAGAATCTAGATGTAGATTCTCAGGCAAAATAGATAACGCATCAACCAGAAAAGCTGAAGACAGAATCTCTAAGGGAACCTTCTATCCATCCCGCCTTACCCTTAGTCAACCAGTTAGAACCTTCACAATCACAAGGTCAATCCGAACCTATTCTAGTAGAAGGACAAGAAGATTGGACTGAAGAATATGAAGAGGAGCAGTTGGACTATGAACCATCCGCAGACGACCAGACTGGACTCCTCGAAACAGGTGAGCAAGAAGACTAGACAGAAGAATATGGAGAAGAACAGATGGAGTACGGTGAAGAACTAGATGAAGAAACTATGGCTTTAGGTGCAGAGTTAGAGAGCTTGTTACAAGGTGATTTAGGCATTAACATGGTGTTTATTCTACTAAAAAAGTTCAAGGCAGCAGAAGGACAAGAAAGCAAACACCTACTGCTAAAGCAGGCAGAACTAGAAGAGGCGCCAGAACAGCAAACACCTACTGCCAAAGTATGCAGAACTGCCATGAAATTAATCGCAGAACAACTCTGCTTCTCCGAACCTACCAAAGAAATGGCCAATCATCTCAGACCTTTGTTCATAACAGCAAACTTTGGGGGGTGTTCCTATTCCCAAAGTAATGGTGGATAAAGGTGCAGCCATTAATCTTCTACCTCACAGGCTGCTGATCAAGATGGGTAGAATAAAGAAAGATCTAATTCTGACATGCTTAACTATCACCAATTTTGCTAGGGGCATCACTAAGACTCATGGAATACTAGATGTGGACGTCATAGTAGGAACCAAGAAGCTGAATATTGCTTTTTTTGTGGTAGACACTACTTCTACCACTGACAATGCACTGCTTGGCGGAGATTGGATCCACCAGAGTCTGTGTGTTCCTTCCACTCTACACCAACAATTGGCCCTCTAGCATGAAGAGGGTTTTATGGAAATTGTGGAGGCCGACCCACGACCATTCCTGCCATCTACATTATGTTTTGAGGCCAGGTATTATCATGATGACCTTGGTCCTTTCACTTTCTTTGGAGTTAACCAGAATGGCCGTCCCCATGGTGTCACGGCCTAGAAACTCATTGAAGAAGGTTTGGCTAGTTCTCTAGAGGACTATTATAGACCCTGCGTTCTCAACCTTCAAAGTTCTAATGTTTAGCTCAAACCAAAAAGAAAGGGATCAAGCTACAACAATCTGATCCACTACAAATAGATTGTTGGTATATTGGGAAGAAAGAAAGCTTTCTATGCATAGTCCAGCCATTAACATGGCAGAATTCATGCATGAGAGTATAGAAGAACAGGAAGGGAATTTGCAAGAAGAGGAATTGGAATTTGCACCAGCAGCACCCCTGCCAGAAGTAAAAGATCCTTTGCAAGAAATAAACCTGGGGACAGAAGAAGATCTCAGACCTACTTTCATTAGCACAGTACTAGAAGAGCCAATAAAGAATGAAATTATTGCACTTCTGCATGATTTGAAAGACTGTTTTGCATGGCACTATCATGAAATGCTTGGATTGGATAGAGGATTGGTGGAGCACAAGTTACCAATAAAAGAAAGATACTTACTAGTCAAGCAGGCCAGAAGAAGGATGTCTATGGAGACAGAACTGAAAGTCAAAGAATAAGTGGAAAGGCTGATTAAAGCAGGTTGTCCAATATTGTACCAGTTCTTAAAAGGAAAACAGGGGCAATCAGAATATGTGTGGACTACATAAATCTGAATGAAGCATCTCTCAAAGATGAATATCCAATACCCATGGTAGATATTTTGGTAGATGGAGCTGCCCACAATCAGATGCTATCATTCACTGATGGCAATGTAGGATACAATCAAATAATGATGGCAGAAAAAGATATCCACAAGACAGCCTTCATATGTCCAGGACATATAGGTGCTTTTGAATACACTATAATGCCTTTTGGCTTGAGGAATATAGGAGCTACTGATCAAAGAGCAATGAATTCTATTTTCCATGATATGATAGGTCATTCTCTAGAAGTTTATATAGATGATGTAGTGATTAAATCCCCGGTAAAAGGAGATCATGTATCAAATCTAAAAAATGCATTCCTAAGAATGAGACAACAGAAGTTGAAAATGAATCCCAAGAAATGTGTTTTTGGAGTTCAAGCTGTTAATTTCTTAGGTTTCTTGGTCCACCAAAGAGGAATATAGATTGACAAGAATAAAGAAAAATCTATCATGGAAGCTTTGTCACCTCGGAACAAGAAAGAATTGCAGAGTCTCCTAGGAAAGATTAACTTCCTAAGATCCAATTATACAGGAAAAATCTAGCCTTTCTCCTCCTTGTTGAGATTGAAGCAGGAACATACATTTAAGTAGGAAGAACAGCACCAGTAGGCTTTTAAGAAAATCAAACACTACCTCTCAAATCCACTAGTTCTATCCCCACTAAAGAGAGACAGACCACTCAAGTTGTATGTTTTTGCATCATAAGTATCCATTGGGATCTATTAGTTCAAGATAACAAGGAAGGGAAGGAACAAGCAGTTTATTACATAAGCAGAACTTTGACGTAAGTAGAAGGAAATATTATGCAATTGAAAGGCTTTGTTTGGCTTTATACTTTACTGCTATAAACCTCAAACATTACATGCTACCTTTCACCACCTACATCATTGCCAAGACAGATCTGATCAAATACATGCTAACAATGCAATGTTGAGAGGGACAATTGATAAATGGACTCTGGCCCTGTCAAAATTTGCCTTCTGATATGTTCCTCAAAAGTCCATCAAGGGACAAGCTATTGCAGATTTCTTGGCAAATCATCCAGGAGAAAAAATTGAGAACATGGATTCCATGGACATAGCCAATGCAGATCTACTGACCAGAGCTCACACCTGTCTCAACAATCCAATTTATTCAGTCCATCTCACCCTCTGGAAGCTATACTTTGATGGATCTAAGACAGCCTCTGGGGTAGGAATTGTTTTAGAAAATCCACTAGGAATCAAACATTGTTATTCATTCCAGCTAGATCCGTGCACCAATAACAAAGGAGAATACGAAGCTTTAATCATGGGACTAGAGATGCTGGTGGAACTAGGAATCCAATCTGTCGAAATTCTGGGAGATTCCATCCTTGTACTAAAACAGATTGTTGGGGAATACAAATGTTTAAGCCCCTCTCTAGCTGTCTATCTAGTAGCGGCCAGAAATCTCTTAGTAGAATTCAAGGAGGCCACTTGGGAACATATCCCAAGAGAAGAAAACTTTGCAGCTAATGAGATGGCCCAGATAGCAACAAGAGTATAGATGCCTAAAGATTGCATACAAAGAATCATCAAGGTAGGAAAGAAAAGCCTACCATTCGTCCTGACCAGAGGAATGGAAATAGTTGTCAATGCTGCAATAATGACTGAAGAAGATTGGAGATTGCCCATAATCAATTATCTGCAGTATCCAACCCTTCCCTCTGAAAAAAGGCTTAGAATCATAGCCTTAAACTACCTCATGTGGAATGGATATTTGGTTCGAAAGAGCAAAGATGAGTTATTGTTGATGTGCTTAGGGAAAAAAGAGTACATGAAGGTCATAGGAGAAGTCTATGAAGGAATCTGTGGAGCCCATCAAGGTGGAAGGATGATGTGCTCGTTAGTTAGAAGCTATGGCTACTTCTGGCTAACTATGATGAAAGACTGCATTGAATATTCCAAAGGATGTGAGACTTGCCAAAGGCATGGACCAATCTAGCAAGCTTCCTCAGTTCCCATGAATCCAGTAGTTAAGCCATGACCATTCAGAGGATGGGCAATAGATCTCATAGGCAAAATCTATCCAGCCAGTAGCAAACAACACTGTTTCATCACATAGACTATTTCACTAAATGGGTAGAAGTCAAGCCTGTTAAAACCACTATATCTCAAGAGATCATCACCTTCATAGAAGAACAGATTATACAAAGGTTTGGTATTCCAAAGTCAATCACAATTGACAGGGGATCTTCTTTCATATATGGAGAAATGCTAGATATGGCGGAAGCATTCAAGTTCAAACTACTTCAATCCACTCCTTACTATGCTCAAGCTAATGGACATGCAGATTCAAGTAACAAGGTGATCATCAACATTATCAGGAAAATGCTTGAGAAAAATCCAAAGCAATGGCATGAGAAATTATCAGAAACTCTATGCGCATATAGAACTTTGAAGAGAGATGCAACTGGCATGACCCCATATGCTCTAACCTATGGTCATGATGCAATTCTGCCTATGGAGATAGTAGTCCAATCTCTCAGAATCGCTCAGCAACATAATTTGATTAGAGAAGACTACTCTCAAGCAATGCTACTAGAACTAGAAGGTTTGGATACCAGTAGAATTGACACCCTCAACAAACTATTAGCAGGAAAACAGGTTATAGCAAGGGCCTATAACAAAAGAGTTAAAAACAAGAGTTTTGAAGAAAGAGAAATAGTTTGGAAAGCAGTTCTGCCCTTTGGAACACACATAGCTGGTTATGAAAAGTGGTCACCCACGTGGGAAGGTCCTTTCATAATTAACCAAGTCCTTGGATTGGGGGCATACAGATTACAAGATTGAGATGGAGACATCCATGCAGCACCAATCAATGGCAAATGGTTGAATAAGTTATATCCAACTATGTGGGATTCACAAGCAGTGCAAACAGATCCTGATATTGAAAGAGAAAAAGATGGAACTGTTGTTTGAATTTAGTTCAGAGTAGTGCTTTTAGTGTTATTTCTAAGTATGTCTTATTTTTGGCTTTCTTTTATTTTCATTTAAATTAAAAGAAATTGAAAATACAAAGTTCCACCAAAAACAAGAGTTTTATTAAATATAGTCATTTTTCATGACAAAGTTTTATTACATTTAAAAATTAAAATTAAAGCCCTAGTTTCCTAAGGGTTTCTTGCAGTCCGGTCTTCTTCATAGAAATTTCTTGTTGGAGAAGCATCCATTGATGGAGAGAGGCCTCTACAATCTCCATGTTCTGCACAAGAAAAATGGCCTTAGTCTTGGTGCCCAGTCCAGCCCCAAGCTTGTTCTGCTTCTCCCTTAGTCTAGCCAGCTGCTTTTGAAGTTCTTCAATTTGTTTCTCCAACTTGTCAACAGCAGTCTTGGCCTCCTTGTAATCAGCCACCAGAATATCCAATTCTGCCTTTTGTTTTTTATAATCAACCAGATTGGCTTCATGAGTAAATGTGCAGAACTCGGAGGCCTTGAAGGAAGGCTTGAGGTCTTCATAATGATGGTGGAGATTGAGCACATCCCTTGCCTGGCCTAGGCTGAGCTCAAGGATAGGTCTGGGAGTCATGTTCTCCCTGTGCAGCAGGTCTAGATCCTTTATCAGCTAGTCAACGGCTTCACTATTCTCGTCCAATTCCAACTCGTTTGACTACTAGATTTTCACTCTGTCCACTGCCTCGTATACTGCTTTGGATGTAGCTCTGCCAGGAGTAGAACTAGGTTTCTCCAGCTCATCCAGTTGAGCATCCAGATCCATGGCTTCAAACTCTGCCAAATGAGGTCGTGGCCTCTAGCAGCTCTTCATCAGTTTCTATGGTTTCAGTGGGAACTGCTACATGCTCTTTTGCCCTTTCAGATTCACTAACAGTCCTCTTTCTCAGTCTCTTTGCCTTGGAGGGAGAGGGAGAGCTTTCAACTGTACAAGGGAAGAAAGTCGGAAATAAGGACATAACGAATCAAAAAGGGAATTGACAAAATTAAAGATACCAAAATTTTACCTGGAGGTTTGGGCTGGGCAACACTGTACTACTCTTTTCTTTTGTTCTTTATGGCAGGGGTTGCCTCAACAATTGGTTATGCCAGAGTCTCATGATCATCCTACTCATCACCAAAGGAGAGCTCTAGGTCTCCAGCAGCAATAACAGAAGTAACTACACAGAAGAAGGAAGAATTCGAAGGCAACCCATCAGGAAAAAGACAGAAGGACAGAATTCAGAAGACTTACCAAACACTTCTCTAGCCTGAATAACTTGTCCCTCAAGGTTCCTTGTCATAGAAGGATCTGATGCAAACAGACAGAATGGATTAAAAAAACATCAGTACCAAAACAGAATGTAGTAATCATTGAAAAAATGGAAAAACATGGACAAAATTAAAAGTTTACCTTCAATTACTTGGGCATTAATGTATTTTATCATCTGCACCATAAATTTCTTGGCCTCTGCCCCTGCATAGACAGCCCATGAATCCCAACCATCAAAAAGCACCTTCATGGTAGAACTGGAATCTGGTAGACTAATGAACCTAGCCTTCCACCAAGCGTCAAACTCGGCAAAATTAGGCTCCCAGGATGGATAGAGAGCATCTGCACTAATGTTTATCTTATTTACTGCACACCTGCAATCCTTGTGCATGTCCAGATCATTTGCATCTCTCCAAGAAGTGCCTCAATTACAGCTTCTATAGGACTTCAACGGAATGAGCTGGGGACAACCAAGCTATCTAGCGCAGAAGTTGGGGTGATAGACCACTCCGCCTAGATGATAGTTAGGGGGCTTACCACCTGCGAAAGGCAGGTCTCGGAGCAGCGTTACACTTAGGAACTTCTTCCTGAAGTCAGTTATGGCCTCTTCATCCTCAGGTTCTTTCTTAAACAATTTGTATCTGGGCTAGAACCAAGGATACTTTTTCTAAGTACCACCAGCCACTGAGTAGCAGACCTCTCAGTTTTGGGAAGTAAACTTGCAACCAGATCTGGATCATCCAGAAGGCGCCAAGATCAGAAAGATTCAGAGGATTCTCCAGAGTCTTGTATAAATGAGCAGAACTGTTGAGCCAAGCCCCAAATCAGTGTGATTGTGCAGAGCTTCTGCCAGATGCTTGTACTCAGGCAGAACTGCTCAGGAATGGTTGAGGAACACAAATCTATTTAGCCAATACAGAAGGAACAACATGTGCTCTTGATCTCTATCTCTCTGTGTGATGAACTTCTTCATATAATTGGAGAATGAGCAGTTCTGGTTGATTGTGGTAGGCAAGATAATGAAAGGCTTTGCCAATTTTTTCTAATTCTTCTTTCTGTGATAGTCCCCAAAAGCATCAACAGGCCTTCCATAAGGCCTAAACCTAAAGATCTGAGCCATGTCTAGTAGGGTTGGAGTCATAGGGCCCACACAAAAATCAAACGTCTTGCTGGCAAAATTCCAGAAGCAGATAGCTGCAACCAGCAAGTTCTTGTCTCTATTCACATATTGCTTGGACAAAAGAATGGAGTCGTAGATCCTAGCCCTTTTCCAATGATCTCCATACCTCGGAAGGAGTCTATCAATCCAGTCCGACCACTTCATTGCGATATTCATCACTTCACTAGAGGGATAGGAGCAGCTCAAGTTCTTCCTGACCCAGGTGGAGAAGACAGGCAGAAGAGCTTTGGAGGCAAATAGGAGCCTCAGCATCCTCTTTAAAAAGATTGACCATTTCCTTTGGCACCGCGCCGAACCAGTGAGGACCCAGGACGAGTGTGTTCTCGAAAAGGGGGAGAACATTTTCATCCAAATTCTTCTGGGTAAAAGGGTGGAGCTTGCTGCAAACCTCGATTGCATGCTGATCGACACCATCTCCAGTAAGATAAGCAGGAGACCGGGATGAGGAAGAAACTTTGGCACGTGTTTTTGGGGAAGACATCTTTGAATTCAAGAAAGAAACAGGGGAGAATCGAAGAACGAACCGAAGAACAGAGGATTTTAGGAGGAAACAAAAAGCTAAGGCAGCACTAGGTCGCAAGTGAACAGTGATGGAACTCAGAACTTTTTATAAACTGAAGAAAGAAGATCGTGGGAAGAGTGGGGAGAAAGGAGTTTTCGTTCGGATTTAATTAGCCATTAGAACCCATTTCCCCACAAAGCCTAAATTGAATAGGCGAACGTGCGCAAGTGCAATGGCAGGAAATGACACACATCATTGATTGGCCAATAATTAAGTCTGAAATCGTTTTAAGAACGATTCAAACTTAAGGGGGCATTGTTTGGGCCAAGAATTCCACACGCTAGTCCATTTTTACAAAGAAGCCCAATAACAGAAAAGCAGAAGACTGGGCCTTGACTCCAAAAGCAGCCTTGTCAAACATTAAGAGGCCCATGTCTTTTTGCAAAATGGAAGAGGTTAGAAAAGCACAAAGAACAAATAAATTCATCATCAAGCAAGTCGATAAAATTCTAAAAAAGAATTAGATTGGGCCCAGCGTCTAAATCTCTCACCATTGATCTCAAAACCCAGAGTGCAAAGTCAGTAGATTTTTAAAGTCTATTCACAAAGAAACCCACGTGACTACCTGACTTTGAAAAGTCAACAATTTCAACTATCACAAGGGACTTCATGGGAGACTAATGAAGGCAGATTCTACAGGAATACTTCTCCAATCTTTACAGTATAGGAAGAAGATCAAAATCTCCTTTTGTATACAGAAAAAATTCTGCATCAAAGCAGGCATCATTTTCAAGGGATAAACAGACTACATTTTCTAAAGAGATAAGTAGGGAGCATGGAGTTGTTCATCAGGAAAAGCAAACTAACCATCACGGCAGATTGAATTCTTACAAGAAGCTGTTAAATGTTAAAAAAAGGGATTAGGTTGTTTTTCAGGAAAAGTAAGGAAGTGACTACCATAAAGAACTAACTATTGATGGCTTTTTGCCAGAATAGATAAAATTTCCTTTTTTCTTGGCATTTAAAATAAAAAGATCTTGCTTTTAAAATCTTCCGCTCATTATTAAAAGATTAGAAATCCCACTCCAGCATTTTCTATAAAAATGAGAGGAGGTGAACAGATCAAAGGACAATCAAAAAACCAATCAAAAACAAAAACTTAAAATGATCACTTGATCTTAAAACCTCAAGCAGAGTCTGGGTTTTTACAAATATGAAAACCTCAACAAATTTATGGAAAGCCCTGATCAAGCAGAACAGGTACTACAATGCTATTCCAGCTCAGTAATCATCAAATCCAACCACTTCTGCCTCTTCCAGACTGAAGGGGTTCCAATTTTGCCAATTCAAAAAGCCTTCCAGGGCTTGAAATAGATTAAAGGTCTGCCAAACTCGAACGTTGGTATTGATTTACAGCTAAAACTTGACAGTTGAAGGTGTTGATAGTCCAATCTAGCACAAACATGTCCAGTCCAGCCCGGATCAGAAGCATCTATCCATGCAGAAATTGAAGTCCAACGCTCTTTTTGTTCTTTTTTAGAGTTGGTCTTTCCTTTTGAGTTTTGTAAAAAGCAGTTCTGCCTAAAAACAGTTCACTTTCTTATCATTCATTCTGACCAGAACTACCAGTCTTGTACTGTGAAAAATTGTGAAGTCATCACCAGAAAGAAAAGAACTTATTTAGGAGATATTCCTCACCCAAATTCACAATCGCTTGTTTAGAAATTAGTAACTTCGGGCGCAAGTTATCTATTTTTAAAGAAGTCAGCTAGGGTTTTTATTGCTAGCAGTGGCACGCTTATACACAAAAGAAAGTTGACTTGTTGACCACAAATAGTTTTCAAGACAATGAGGAACTTTACCCTATCATCACAGGAACAAATATAAGACTGGTGAACAAATACCAA